GTATGATAACAGAGAAATTGATGTGGTCAACGGTTAATTTCGAAGGTGATATTTTTTTGCCTCATTCATTCTCATCTTCGTCCTTCATGCCTTCTTAACTCGAATTATATGCAAAGAAATATAATTGGATGAAAACGGCCTCTTTTTCAACAAAAATTCGACTATACAAAATTGAAAAGTATTGTTTGTTAAGAGGTAAAGAGAAGAGCCTGAATTCTGTAAGTCAAGTAATTTTTGTTGCCAATATTTCTTTTTTAGAATAAATGCAAAAATAAATTTGAAATTTTTACTTTTTTGCATAAAATTTTTGAGATATAATTTTTTGAATTAATAAAAATATTCAAAAAAATTTTATTCTCTATATACTTGATCAAATTATACTGATAATACGCAATATTTTTCATATTTTAAAAGATTAACTCCGTAATATTAATTTTGCCTTCGATGCTTTTCATATACTTATTGATTGGCTAACTTTAATAGTATAATTTTTATTTTAGAAAAATGTTGAGTAGTAATAATTACTTTGAAAATCATAAAATTTGTGAAAGTAGAAACTGTTAGTAGTTATTGGTTATTACATTCAAGTCGTATTTAATCCTTTTATTATTTCTACTGAATTAAGAAAAACAGAATTAAATGCAAAGCAATCTTTTATTTTGTATTCTTTGCTGCTCTAATTCATTTCCTCAGTGAGTGAACAGTTTTCTGATAGTGCAGTCCAGTTAGTACTACTGTTACATACTACTTAAAGTGAGGTTCATAATAAATGTTAGTTTATTAATACTTTCTTGAACATAGCAAAAATTTATATATTTATGATTCTCTCAAACTATTATGCCATGCGCAAGTATGGAATTCTATTGATTACGGTAAATATCGTTTAATATTATAAATTATCTCTGCAGGAGAGATATATTACCGAATTTTTCCATTATTCTTTTAGAATTTTAATACATAAAGTTTCGTCTTATAAAGTTTATAAATCATTGATTATATAAATTCAATACTTGAAAAATTTATCTTCTAATTTTAAATTAAAAAGGTTATGCTACAATTAATATCATTTTTTAATAAGTTTCTGTAAAAATTCTTTGCATTGTTCACTCATGTTATTAGGAAATTATTACCATGAACATAAGAAATTGAATATATTTTTTGAATTTATATATTTTAGCATTTATTCTTTAATAGTTTTGGAAAGCAAAATTTTTTCAGAGTTGATGAGTATAGTATTAAAATTGAATAGGTAAAAATGCAGTTTTGTGTATAATAATTTTTATATCAATGAAAAAAAGAAATTAGTTTTTGAATTCTTGTAGATCGATTATTGATACTGCAAAATTCGCTATCAGATTTGATTTATGAATAGCAGTAATTCTAGTTTGACATCAAGCAAAATCGTGATCAATTTGTCATTAGCTGATATGTAATCAATATGTATCTTTTGTTTGATAACTGACAAAACTAATTTCTATCATCTATTTTTTAGCCACCTAATTATGATTATTTGCAAGGCAGAAATGAATTAAACCCTCATAATTTTCAAAAAAATATTTTTATTTGATTATACTAATCCATTTTAATATAGCAAATAATTATTTACTAATAGCAGACTTTTGTTTTTTTTTACTTTTTTTCTTCACAAAGTTAATTTTTATGTAATTTTCAATCTGCTAGTACAGTTTTTTATGTATACTTAAGTGCCATTTATTAGTAAATATCACATATTTATAATTTACCAAATAGTTTTAGAATAAAATAAAAAATTACAAAGATTATGAGGGAAGGAATATATGAGATATTATCATCATTTTCCAGCTCTGTGATAAGAAGTCTAGAATTGCTGGCAAAATTGAAATATCGATAAGTATACAAAATTAAGTTTCTGTCATCTTTCGGGTCATTTCAATCATACAATACAAACAGATTGTTTGTTGATTGTTGCCATAATGATTATATGTTATAGTTCCATCTGCATATCCACCACCCTTGCCAACAAAGAATGGTCTTTGAAAGGTTTGTTGTCAAGGTATATATGTGCTACTCTTTATTCTCATTCAACAGCAAATAGCCAATGGCTCTTAACAAGAGCTGTCTACTTTTATCGATTTGCATTTATATTATTTACTATGACTATTGTTGATACTATAAATAAAAGCGTCATTATTATTGTAGTACTCGTATCTTTTTTGTCTTAAAAATGAGTGCTAAATGAATTTACTTTTTTTTTGCTAAAAACTTAATAGAAGCTATTATTATAATAACTATTATTAATATTAATTAATTAATTAATTAATTAGTTAGTATATTTTCTTTATGAATTTAGTGAATGAATCAGAATTAAGTGCAATAATAAGAGAGAGTTCATTTGTTTTCATTTGTATCGTTTATTTCCCACCTGCTTGTGTAAGTGTATCATTAATCCATTCATCTATTCACTCACTCATTCACCCGTTCATCTTAGTACTGGCATGCATGCATATCTCCAGTTTCTCAAAATTCTCACTGACATCAATCACTTGATTATTCCTCTTTTCCAATGACCACTGCTCTCAGTAAATGATTTTTGTCAATTTTGAAGGTCATCAAATATCATCAGCAACTCTAAAAGCAATCACATTTTAGCTTAACAATTCATTTTTAGGATCGAATAATTTGTATAATTAATTTAAAATTTTTTTGATTGAAATGGTTGCTCTTATTGTGATAAAATTATATTTCTTTCAACTTGAACAAAATTTGTTTTCCATTATTTTAATCCATTTGCATGAAACAAAGAGCAATAAATACTGCCAGGCAGTAGTAATTCATTTCTCTCCTTTTGTTGCAAACTTATTTTAAAATTTTAGTGTAACTGTATTAAAAATTTAGTGCATTAAATTGCTATGTTTTGCATAGCAGAAATATTATCTATATGTGGGAAAAAAAACATAAATTATCTATATGTGGGAAAAAAAACATAAACTCTGCGAAAAAAAACATAAATTGTATATCGATTGGATTGAGATACGATATTTGAACTCTTGTAGAATGCTCTATTTTCATCATTATCGAATTTATTTGCATTTCTCAAAGGAAGTTATGGGAAAATCCGCGCAAAATTAAGAGATTACAAAGTTTACTTTTCAAAATTAATTCCCGTGATTCAGGACAAAATCGAAGATTAGATACAATACGAGATTAGATAATTAATAAATTGATTTGCAATTTACTTGTGTAATTAGTCGATTTAAAATTTTTGTGCAAGTAATCAAAAAAGTTTATGAAAGAAAAAAGTATCGTTTTATGTGTATGAAATTTGAAATCGATAGTATTTTGAGGTGGAGTATCGTAAAGTGGGAATATAAAATTGAATGACCTTTACTGACTGCGCACAGAGGTGCTCATTTCCACTGAATGCCCAGAAATTACGTTTGAATAACATTGGTATTGCTGTGATATTTCATTTGCGACAGATATGATAAGAATGTTTTCACTTATCCATTTGGTAATTCTTCTTGCTATCAATGATATCATGACCAAATATTACTCCTTTACCTGGAACGTCTTTCTACTACTAACTATTTTTTACAATTTTCAATGAAAAGTGATTTTTGATTTTTAACACCTAAAATAGGTAGCAAATAAGAATGACAAACAAATGATGATGTGATTGATACTGGGTCAAATCAGGTCAATTCAGTTCTGTTCAGTTCAGAAATTATACTCTATGAAGAGACATTCATTAATTTTGATAGTTTTGTGGATATAACACACTAGAACTTCCTTGTGAAAGTTTTTGAGAAAAGCAGCACTATATGCTTAGTTTTATTGCTCTGATATTCAAGTTTTTGTTTGTAGATGCAATTATCAGAGCTTTTTTTCATTATTAATGCATAAATAAGTGAAAATATTAAAATGAATATGAAAAAACAATGCAATATTTCATTACTTCTATGACTATCGTTTGATTGCATAAAGTTGCATATTGTACTGCAACTTACAGTGTCACTATCAGTTAGCACTTTTATTGTCACGAAAATAAGTTCATTTCATATGTTTCTGAAAAGAATTTTCACATTACTCTTAGAATTCTTTTCAGAACACAAAAAATGCAAATTCTAAGAGTAATGTGAAAATTTTTTAATTAGTGCGTGAGTTTTTTGACTGTTTCAAACACAAAAGAATGATGAAAAGAAGTAAGTAATCCTTATTAGACTGCACTATAAGCTTTCGGTTCATGTAAGGGAAGACAAAAATTTTTTAAAATAAAACGAGTTGTCTTATCGATTATACTTTTTTTGCTGCTCTTTGAAATATTGAAATTTTCATATTGCAAGAAAAATATTTCTGATAGATAAAAAAAGGATCTTTTTTTGCGCTCATCACGCTTTGAAGAATGCATTAAATGTAAGACTAAATTTATTCATTCAATTCAATACTTATTACTTCTATTAATTGACAAGAATCGCAATTTATTTGAAAGTTGTGTGTGATTATAAGATCGTCCATAATATGCAATAAGTGGTGATGTATTTACTTATTATCTTAGATAACAATCATTACTTTCAACACTTTAATTACAAATGCAGTGATTAATTTTTAGGTAAATAATCACACAATCGCAAAATCTTAATATTTTCAAGCATAAATTTTAAATGCAATCACAACCTCAAAAAATACTTTGCTAAATTTTCACATAGCCTTTTTTAGTTTCTTACTAATATGTTGTAATTTTACTATTCTGATGTGAACAGGTAACAAATCAGATTTATTGATAAGCTCTAATTGTTTTTTGCATTCACAAATTTTTTATCGTACTTTCATGCGTTTGACTTAAAATCATGTCATATTATTATTATTATTATTATTGTTATTATTATCCATTAATATAACGCTTATGACATAATTTAGAACAAATAATCGTACAGTATGAAAAAATTTACAAAACTTATGAGCTGCTATTACTGTTGCAGAATAAACAAACACGACGACAACAAGAAAACAGAAGCAAAATAATGGCAACTGGCTTCGGGCCTCCTCCTTTAATATCATCACAATACAATGCACAACAAGTAGGATTGATTACTAATATATATCACTAATTAATCGTTTAAATCTTTCACCTTTATAATATGCGTAAAGAAAAATAAATTATTCAATACGCTAAAACTTAAGCAATTTTTCACCTTAGCAGTCAATTCACAGTTGATTAAGTGCAATATTAGGTTCATAATGCGATGAGAGAGATAGGAATGAGAGTTAACGGAAAGAAAATGTTTTTATTCACAAGAAAATATAACTTTCAAAATTTTGAATTGTGATTTCTAATCAATTTCAAATTTTCATTTAAATTCAAATTTTTACAACACTGATATCATTTTGTGTGTCAATAAATCAAAGTTCGTTTCATTTAGGCAAATGGCTGGCGGCAGTCATTAGCAGCATTGTTGTGTATGCTACAGTGTTTTATTATATTTCTATCTGTTTGTTATGTCGGAGTGTACTTGATAAAAGGCAAACCTGTTTATGAAGAATTAGTTGATTACTTGGATAAATCAATTGCAATTAGTAAAATTAATTACAATCAGCAATTAGGATCTTTCGAACTTGAAGAAAATGAACTACAAACCTTAGAAAAACATCGAATGGTTCTATACTTATTTCATTTATTTATACTAATTAGTTTTATTAATACTTTTTTATTATTCATATCATTTTTAATGTTAATTTTGTACTGCGAAAAATTTTTCAGTCAGTAATTTTTATGATAAGTATTATTACCTTTTTCTCATAATTATTAAGACAAATTTTTGTTTTCTAATTCAATTACTGATTATAAGAACTGCGTAATTCTAAACTGGGTATATATATAAATATTAGTATAAAACTATGTTTGCAAATTTTAAATGTAATTATTTTCACTTTTCAGTACAAAACTTTGTTATGGTTGTTTTTATTTACCGATTTGGGGTGTTATTTTTTCTTAGCCCTTTGCATTCTCATATATTTGACGACGGAAACAAGCAGAGGAAAAGCGCATATTGCTTTTTGGGTTAGTAATCATGAAATTTTCTCTAGATTTTAATATCAGATACTTTGTGAAAAATGAGATAAAATAAGTCAAATAATCAAATCAATTGTTGAACTAATTATCTTAAATCTTTAGTCTCTAATATCATTTTTCAAGTCAGATTTAATGCGCTGATATCACTCTATAGTATAATCAACTACCGCTTTGCCTGTTACGTAAAATTTAAGGGGGTTATTTACAAGTAGGTTTATAATTGAAATTGTAGCAATAATATTAGCAAAACTTTCTTCTTATTAATAAGTTTTGCTTAAAAAATTACGAAAAAGAAGGATAAGTTAGATTTAAATAAGCTCTTTCAGTTTTTTTTCACTTTGGCCATTTTATATTGTGTCACTGAAATCCATGTTATGGCATTTATGTTATTTCCCTACACGTCACAACTACCGAATATCACAGAAAATTTATTGAATCACGCAATACCTTACAATCCTGGTGGGTTGCTACAAATGGAGCAACGTCTTAATTGTATTTTTGACTTGAATCTTTATGCAGCGCAAAAGAGGAAACAGAACCCTTTGGTATATTTTGTCTCTTTTTTATTAATATTTCATGTGATGTAACTTTAGATATTCTGCTGTTTTTGTTTAAAATAATATTAGTAGTGCAATATAACTTGCTTTTTTTCTGCTTAGTTAAAGTTATTGATAAGTATACAAACGTTATGTCAGTGAATCGAGTCACACAATACAAAAAATTTGCCGTTACTGATTTCTGTAATCAATAATTTACTCGTTTTGTTTTTCTTGCTCAAATATATCGATATTAAGAATGAATAAAAATTATTTTCTAACAGCGTGTCGTCAAGATTATTTACATAATATCAAAATAGTTAAAAAGATTGATTTTATTTTAAATATAATAAAAATTGAAAATTTTTATTAACTAATAATCAAGTATTTTGAAACATAAATCGAAGATTAATAAATTAATTCAGTTACATCTTTCAAAATATTCAAAACATGCAATTTATTTTTAAAAAGCAATACTAGGTTTAAAATTGAATTTCAGTGATGAATTTTGATTTTTGCAAATTCTGATTGAAGCATTTTAGAATACGTGTGATCCGTATATATCCTCGGCTTTCATTGGTAAAGCTATGCTATGGACTCTTTTGGCACTTAGATTAATACCTGTGGTGATATTTGTGTTATTAGTCAGTAAAAAATTATCAGTAAGCGAAATGTTAGCATCATTTGGAGAACGGTTTCGTACAGCGATACGACCAAATGATGGTAGTGCTCGAATTAAGTTAGTTCTTCATTTTTATGAAAAATTGTGGCTTAAATGAGTACACATTTCTTTCAGATTCTGATTATCAAAACAGCGCTCACAAAATTTACCAGTAGTTTATATTTCAGAAAAGTCAGTTACGGACCAAATTTTATGAATAGCAAAACTACAATTATAGGCGTTGCACCAACGAGTAGTATTCGGTCAGTATTCTATATCTTACTTCTTTTAAAAACAAAAAGCACGTCACTTGAATAGCAATAAAAGCATAAAAAGAGTATTGGCTAGTTTTAGGTCGAATATTGCATCATCAGAACCAGCATTACCTTCGTCACATGCAGATAATGATCATAGCATGAGGTATTTGAAACTGTGAAATCACCACTGCATGCTATCAAGCTTATTAAATTTACAAATGCTTCAGCGTATTTTAGCAAAAAATGCATGCATATCTTTATGTGTATGAGTGAGTGCATTTGAAACAAAAATTATCAGACTTGCCAAACATTTTTGAATTCCACTAAAAATTATGAACCGGAAATGGTATTGTACTGTATTTTTTCGGTGTTTGACAATGCACAGTTAAATGCGAGACTTTTCATTTGTAAGCTTTGCTTATCACACTTCCACTTCTGCTTTCTCTTTCTGTATAAGTGCTAACAATTACCTTGTTAAACTGAAATTTCACTCATTTATTCTTATAGTTGTATATGAAAAGCAATGAATGTATGATATAATGTTTATGGGAGTCACTGCTACAAAATATAACCATACATTAACATTATTGAAGTTTTAAGACATCAAGAAATGAAAGTTTGTTTGCCATTGTAGTTACAATAACGCTGCATTCTTCGCGACATCTGGTGCACCTGGCATAGGTGGCTTAGGCAGTTCAAAAAGTAGTGAAATATCAAGAAGTGATGCGATCGATTTGTACAGGTTTGTAGTTGCATAGTCTGTACACTGAAATCGAAACTGGAAATTATTTGCAATGATTATGAATGGTTGAACATACCACAGTTTTAGTACCAGTAATAAAGTGTACAAAAAATTCTCCTCTCTAAAAGTCTCATTTGCAGGCCTTCATTGCTTACCAGTAGTAGTATTATGTCGGAAGTTTAAAACTGAGAACTACTAGTAGCAGTGCTGATCTCAAGCAGCAGGTGAAACGGTGCATCCTCATGCCTTTTCTTGAAAATTGTATTTTTTTATCGTATCAAGAATATGATGATACTAAACATTGTTAATTCCGAATGTAGAGAATATTGCTTCAAAGATGTAATTAGCGTCACAACTCTTCACTTTAAAATTGTCTGGCTAAAGGTCTTTGCTTGATATCCCATAAGGACTACTTTTTTAACTTATGCAAGGCCACTCTCTTAAAAGTAAGGCGTATTATGTCTTTGATGTTGCGAATATTTAAATGGAAGAACTTGTTTGAATTACTTTATCTTACCGCTATTATACTAAGATTATAAGTATACCTTAGCTCATAAAATGTTTCTTCTATGAGCCGCAAGGCAATATAAGGCAGTTACTGGTTAGGTGAAATCAAAAGTTAAAAGTTTTATACATCTATTTTCATTTTCAACAACAAAATAGCTAGAAGGTTACTTTATTTCATTGTTTTTGTAAGTCTGTATTTGTTATCCTTTAAAATATATGCGACGTTCCTTTATTCCAACATTTTTTATAGTGGCATTTCTGGGAAATGCAAACTAAGATTCAACGATTGTCATCTTCAATTTCAAAATTATAAAGTACAAAAGTGTTTTCTTCATCACTGTGTATAGGTACTTGAACTAAAAGAGCACATTTCTTTAAATCCAAAAATAAAATACGTGAAGTTGAGTCACTTCAAGCCAATGCATTAAAACTGAAAAACTGTACCCAAACTACTAAGCAGTACAATTTTAAATAGATGCGCCGCTAAATTTTTGCAGTCAACAAACTTCATTTCTTAAACACAGACTCGAAGAAAAGACACACAAGTAAGCAACTTTGCTTACAGTACAAATCTAGTCGTTACTTGAACAATTCATAAAAATTATAGAGCTTTGATGTTTCTGACCAAATATGAGAGTAAGAATTCTTAGAAGAAATCTTTCCTAGTCCCAATAATAATTAGAGCTGTATATAAAGTTTTACTAAAAATTCCAGAAAACCCATAGACATTTGAAGACACGTATATTCAAAAATGAACTAGTCGTAGTTAATCACATTTGTTTGCAACACCGTATACCCTAAGCCCCGAAGGAAGGCAACCAGAGCTTCATCTTGACCCAGCACTTGATCGGTTGAAACAATCTAAAATTTGAAAACCCCTTTATATATGAAAGGCAATTGTATAAAAAATAATGCAGATGAAAAAGTTACTCTGTTTAATTTTCCCAAAAGCTTTCTGCCAGATCTGTACGCTACCAGTTCATGTCCATTTTGAACTATGTAATGCACCAATTGATCAAACCAGAGTCTTCCATGCCTATCGTTCTGTTTTCTACATTCCACAGCTATATCGAACACTACTTGCATGACGTAGTTCCCGAAACAATTGAAAAGCATAGCTTGTACTGGACCATTTCCATCACTGTAAAACCTGATTTTAAATTTGACAAAATTTAAACAGAATGAGATAGGATGAATGCACTTTCATGAAGAAAAGTGAAAAAACCATTACGCGTTGCTGCTGTCGTAAAGTATTTTGTTCATCATTATTTCGAGCAGATCAGGTGGCGCAAAATTCAAAACTCTTTCGAAAACATGCGACCCGTGTTTATCTGCTGACATGACAAACAAAAAGCCACTGCAACAAGAAATTTTGGAGTTGGAATAACATAAAAATCTTACTGTTCTCGAAAGCGTTGGCACAGTCACTTAGCATACTAAAACACCGCAGCTCAACCAGAAGTGAACTGTTTTTTTACTTTAAATAACAAATAAGAAGTAAAAATTCAATATAGATATTGCAGTAAAAATTAAATACATTACACTAGTTTGTGTATTATGGCATCGCGGTGTCTTCCTGATGTGTCCAATGAAATTATCGTTTGAACGACATAATTGGCATACTCATGCATTGCAAGATAAGGACACGCTGAAATAATCATAGAGACAAGCTTATCCATTAACAAAACAGCGGATGGTTCCGACTTCAATGCTATTTCTTCTTCCAGCTTCTGCAAAATCAGTTAGCGGTAGACTTGAAAACCTCTAGTATTTCGCAAATACAGAGTGCTATTACTGTAATGTAACATATTAGACATAAGTTATATCCTCTCATAATCTACTATGCATCGATAATACTTTAACTTTGCAACACAAAATGCAAAACACTTCATATGTATTTATGATCCAATTTAGTGAAATTCTAAAATTTTATCAGTTAACAAGATCCAATAAATTTCAAGTCGTAATGGCAAGTTATTTTCAAAAACAGAACTTTGCAAGGGCAAAATGATTTTTTTGAGTTAAAATTTTCAAGATGCTACCTGGACTGATAGCTGCATGACTCGACATCCATATCTATCCTTAACAAGTTTCATGAACGCATCCACTGATACCAAAAATTTACTTACTAGAAACCTGCATCCACAAAATGAGACAGAAGTTAATATTTTCTGAAAAAACTTTTTATTGTTCTTCCGTAAAAAATAAAGCTCATCATGCAAAAAAAAAAGACTAAAAAAAGTGAGGGTTTCAATATTTCCATGATCAACTACAAAGTTAATGCCTAAGTGAAACAGCATTGATGATTTACTATATCATTGTTTAAGACCTGAATAACGTGGTTAGCATTAGGATTTGTCGATAGTTCTATTTCTGATCCAATCATTTCACCAATGAGCACCAAATGCTCCGCCTCATTAAAATAGTCCAGTGCTTTTTGCACGACTCGACAAGAATATCGACCAACACTTAATGCTACGATATTCATTGAAACTATGGTAAAAATCCACTGACGATGCCGAGAAAACGATACTTCCAGTAAATGCTGAAATATGAAGCAACGTCCACATTTAAAGCAGATTCATTACTGATTCGTATTTAATATTTCCAAGAGCGCTAAATACATCCAAACTTCTAACATGGCATTTTTATTAGCTTACACTACAAGTATCGTCAACCATGGAAAATACCTGTACGAGGAAATTGCCGTACTTGTTTATACTGGCTTCTTTAAAAATATTTGGACTTAAGAAATAATTTTCAAACAACTGCTGAATGCGACCATCTCCTCTTGCGAGAATTTCTCGGAGAAGGCTAAAATTACCAACAACAGTTAATAAGTATAATAATATAACTCTTTGAATATAACATAGCAAAAAAATACAAACAATACTGCTTTTATAAGAAAGTGGAAAAGTATCGAATTACACTTAAAATATCAAAAATTATGTTGCAGCATAAAATTTATTGAATAACTAATTTGAAAGCAGTAAACTCTTTTCCAACATATTAAGGAATATGTGGATTTACCACCAGTTATTTGCGAATAGAAATTTTATCTTTACCAACAACAAAACTCTCTGCATGTACGTCACTTAAGAAAATTTTTTTTCCCTCGAAAACTTCTGGAGAAGCTTTTTCTTAAAAAACTTATGCATGAAATTTCAGCAAAAATTTTCATACCGTAGTTGCAATAATTTTATAGACAACGAAAATCTGAAACCTAAATTTTGTTTCATTGCGTACATAGCTCATCACTTTTCCAGAATCTATGAGATTTTCAATAAATGACTGAGTCCAAGAAACATCATTAATGTGGGCGAATACAAGTTCGCAACTGAAAAAAAATATTTGCGAAAAAGCAAGAATCCCAAACATCTGAAATGATTAACCAATAACTAAACCGTATTGAAATGCAATGTAATTATAGGACATACTTGTCATTATCATCCATACTAACACAACCATTCGTACTATCATTATCATTATGAATGTTGGCATCATGACTAGTTCTACCATAATGATTATAAACGTATTCACAGTTATTATCATCAATGATATAAGCTGCATTTGCTATTGCTGATGATTGAGTAACACTCATAATTGGCTGAATCGATAGCTGAGGGCTAACCACACGCGCAGTATTGGCAACAGAGAAGGTCTGGAATGTCATGATGTTATTTGATTTACAAACTGTTATTTCAAATTATTATACCATATTACCATAACGCGGGAAAATAATTTTAAAAATATGAAACTGAAATTCCTACAAATAAACGATTAAAGTAAATAGTTTATTGAAATTATGTATATTTTTATGATCGCTGAAGATACCAGAAAAGGTCTTGAAAACGTTTGCGAAATTTTCAGAGCTGTTTGATAGCCAATCATCGGTACTGAAAAAAAAATGAAAATGCAAGTCATCATAAATTTCAGTTCACGTCTGCAAACTAGAATTATGAAAAATGTATAGGGGAAGAAGGAAGCATCACTGAATGTCGCAATGATTTGCCAGCATTGTTACAGAAAATAATAAAGACTGTAACAATATCATCAAAAATAACGGTGCTTACTTGGAATTGCATAATTTGTGGGATTTACCACAAAATTCATGGAACTTGACAAATGTAATGCACTGCATTCTTGTTGTGTCATATTTGCTATTGGTACAATGTGAGTTACTGCCATTCTCGCTGCTGCCTGTTGTGTTTGTAGCATTTGTATAAACTGTAAATTTTGATGCGTCTTTTGTAGTGCTTGAAATTGTTGTTCATGTTGTTGCTGCCACTGCTTTTGCTTCTGCAATCTCAGTTGTTGCTGCCGTTCTTGCTGTAGCCTCAGGTCTTCTTGCTGCTCTTCTTGCTGAAACTGATCTTGTTTCTGTTGTTGTCCTTGCTCGATCTGATCTTGTTTCTGTTGCTGTCCTTGCTCGATCTGATCTTGTTTCTGTTGCTGTTGTTGCTCTTGTTCCTGTTCCTGCTTTTGCTGAACCCTCAGATCTTTTTGTTGCTGTTCTTGCAGCCTCAGATTTTGTTGTTGCTCAAACTCTTTACGACGTTCTTGTCGCTGTTTTCGTTGTTCTTGCTCGAACCTCAGATCTTCCTGTTGCCGTTCCTGCTGGATCCGATCTTCTTTCTGTTGCTGTTGTTGCTGGATCCGATCTTCTCCCTGTTGCTGTGCTTGCTGGATCCGATCTTGTTTCTGTTGCTGTTGTTGCTGGATCCGATCTTGTTTCTGTTGCTGTTGTTGCTGGATCCGATCCTCTTTCTGTTGCTCTTGTTGCTGGATCCGATCTTCTCCCTGTTGCTGTCCTTGCTCGATCTGATCTTGTTTCTGTTGCTGTCCTTGCTGGATCCGATCTTCTTTCTGTTGCTGTTGGTGCTCTTGTTCCTGTTCCTGCTTTTGCTGGACCCTCAGGTCTTTTTGTTGCTGTTCTTGCAGCCTCAGATTTTGTTGTTGCTCAAACTCTTTACGACGTTCTTGTCGCTGTTTTCGTTGTTCTTGCTCGAACCTCAGATCTTCCTGTTGCCGTTCCTGCTGGATCCGATCTTCTTTCTGTTGCTGTTGTTGCTGGATCCGATCTTCTCCCTGTTGCTGTGCTTGCTGGATCCGATCTTCTTTCTGTTGCTGTTGTTGCTCTTGTTTCTGTTCCTGCTCTTTGTGAAGCTTCAGATCTTTTTGTTGCTCTTCCTGCTGAACCTTCAGGTCTTTTCGTTGCTGTTCTTGCAGCCTCAGGTTTTGTTGTTGCTCACACTCTTTACAACCTTCTTGCCGCTCTTTTCGTTGTTCCTGCTCGAACCTCAGATCTTCCTGTTGCCGTTCTTGCTGAAACTGATCTTCTTTTTGTTGCTGGATCCGATCTTCTCCCTGTTGCTGTGATTGCTGGATTCGATATTCTTTCTGTTGCTGTTCTTGCTCTTGTTTCTGTTCCTGCTTTTGTTGAAGCTTCAGATCTTTTTGTTGCTCTTCCTGCCGAACCTTCAGGTCTTTTCGTTGCTGTTCTTGCAACCTCCGTTTTTGTTGTTGCTCCCACTCCTTACGACCTTCTTGCCACTCTTTTCGTTGTTCTTGCTCGAACCTCAGATCTTCCTGTTGCCGTTCTTGCTGAAACTGATCTTCTTTTTGTTGCTGTTGTTGCTGGATCCGATCTTCTCCCTGTTGCTGTGCTTGCTGGATTCGATATTCTTTCTGTTGCTGTTCTTGCTCTTGTTTCTGTTCCTGCTTTTGTTGAAGCTTCAGATCTTTTTGTTGCTCTTCCTGCCGAACCTTCAGGTCTTTTCGTTGCTGTTCTTGCAACCTCCGTTTTTGTTGTTGCTCACACTCCTTACGACCTTCTTGCCGCTGTTTTCGTTGTTCTTGCTCGAACCTCAGGTCTTCTTGTTGCTGTTCTTGCTGAAATTGACCTTGTTTCCGTAGCCGTTCTTGCTGGATCTGATCTTGTTTCTGTTGGTGTCCTTGCTGGATTCGATCTTGTCTCTGTTGCTGTTGTTGCTCTGGTTTCTGTTCCTGCTTTTGTTGAAGCCTCCGATCTTTCTGTTGCTGTTCTTGCAGCCTCCGTTTTTGTTGTCGCTCCCACTCCTTACGACCTTCTTGCCGCTGTTTTCGTTGTTCTTGCTGGAATCTCAGGTCTTCCTGTTGCTGTCCTTGTTGAAGATGGTCTTGTTTTCTTTGCTGTTCTTGCTGAAGCCGATCTTGTCTTTGTTGCTCTTCTCGATGGAGCCTCAAGTCTTGCTGTAGCCAGTTTTCTTTTTGCTGCTCTCGTTTCTGTTCCTGCTTTTGCTGAAGCCTCAGATCTTTTTGTTGCTCTTCTTGCTGGACCCTCAGGTCTTTCTGTTGCTCTTCTTGCAGCCTCCGTTTTTGTTGTTGCTCCCACTCCTTACGACCTTCTTGCCGCTGTTTTCGTTGTTCGTGCTCGAACTTCAGGTCTTCTTGTTGCTGTCTCCGTTGAAGACGGTCTTGTCTCTTTTGCTGTTCTTGCAGGACTTTCAGGTCTTTTTGTTGCTGTTCTTGCAGCCTCCGTTTTTGTTGTTGCTCCCACTCCTTA